GCTTTCAGAAGTGTCTCCTTATCTTTGAGTTTGGAGAGCTTGACTATGATATGTCTTGGTGATTTTCTTTTGGGGTCTATCCTTCCTGGAGTTCGTTGAGCTTCTTGAATGTTTATCTTTTCACTTTTCAGGATGCTAGAGACATTTTCTTCTAGCAGTTCTTCAACTATTTGCTCTGTGCACTTGTTTGATTCTTCTTGTTCTGGAATGCCAATAATTCTTAAGTTATTCCTCTTCATGTTGTCCAACATGAATCTTAGTTCATTAGCCTCATAGTCCATTAACTTTTCTGTCCATTTAGTGCAGTCTATTTTATCCTGTAATAGACCTGACCTTCTCACTATCTGGATCTCTGTTCCTACTTGTTTACCTTCTTTTACATTGTACTTGTTTTGATCATAGACTGACCTCCCAGATTCTCTGAGTTTGTTCTGATAGTTTTGCTTTGTTAACAACTCTTCTTTCTATAGACTTAATTCAGATAGGTGCTGGTTATTGTCTGTTCTTTTTGGTTCTCAGTCCACAGAACTCCCTTTAGGATGTTTTGTAGTGCACGGTTGGCTTTGGTAAAATCCCTTAGCTTCTGTTTATCCTGGAATGTTTTGATTACACCATCATATTTGATTGATAGCTTTGAAAGATTCTTGGTTGGCATTTTTTTTTCTTTCCGGGTTTTATATATATATCTCCCCATTGCCTTCTTGCTTGCATGGTTTCTGCTGAGAGATCCGAGCTTAACCTGACTCGCTTGCTTTGTATGTGACACTTCTGTTTTCCCTGGCTGCTTTCAGAAGTGTCTCCCTTATCTTTGAGTTTGGAGAGCTTGAATATGATATGTCTTGGTGATTTTCTTTTGGAGTCTACCCTTCCTGGAGTTCATTGAGCTTCTTGAATGTTTATCTTTTCATTTTTCAGGTTGTTAGAGAAATTTTCTTCCAGCAGTTCTTCAACTATTTCCTCTGTGGCCTGTGTGATTCTTTTTGTTCTGGAATGCTGATAATTCTTAAGTTATTCCTCTTCATGTTGTCCAACAGGAATCTTAGACCTTCAGAATTTTTTATCCTTTTTTGTGTTTGTTCTTCTATTTTAGTGGTATTGAGAGATTTATCTTCCAGCTCACTGTTTCTGCCTTGCATCTCATCTGTTCTACTTCTCTGCCCTTTCAGAGTGTTCTCTACTTCTGATATTTTGTAACTGATCGTTGGGACCTCTTTCTGTACGTTTTGAATTGTTTCCAATGCTGTTTCTGTCTTATTTGATTGTTTCTGTAGCACTTTCCTGACTTCTTCCGTATTTTTCTCAACTCCATTGTAAAGTGTTTTGAAACATTTTATAATCATTTTCTGAATTCTTTCTCAGGCATTTCCATGGCCTGACCTCCTTACAGAATGGAGTCCAAGTCTACTTCTCGGTCATTTGTCTCAGACATTTTATCTTGTTTCTGGACATGTGCAGATATGGTCACCTGCTTTTGCTTCTTGGACATGTTTAATGTTTATCTGTGGACTTAATACTTAATTGAGTATGTGATTGGGTGATTTTTTTATGCTTTCTGATTGCTTCCAGGAAGATGTGATCAGGATGTGGGCTTCCCTTTTCACTCTTCTTATTGCTTAGCTCAGAGTAAATTTCACAGGTGTTGTCTGTTTCACTGGTATAGGGTAGTTGGTATTTGTTCTTGCCTGTGTTTTGGTGTTTTATAGAGTGTGATTGTAGCTTGGCTATATGTCAGCAGTTGCTGACTCTTCTTGCGTAATATATAGGGAGACAAAGAGTCCTCCAAAGGCAGAAGGGGGGGCATATAAGAGCAAAGCAACATGAGAGAAAGAAAGAAAAAAGACTAAAAACGGCAACAACAAAAACAAAACTGAATACTGCAGTCTCTAATCACAGAAAAGGGAGGGGAGGGTGAGATGGAAAAGAAAGAAAAAAAAATATGTAACCTAATATGAGTATGACTTTAATGTCTTCTCTTCAGCTTCTTGTCTTCAGAGGTGCCCGAGAGATTCCAAGATGCCAGTGTTGGTTGTTATGCTACCCCTCAGGCTCTAATTCAATCTTCGGCCTGTTTTGCTTTTAAACTCTCTTTCCCTCCCTACAGCCCTCTCCTTCTCTTTCCCGTGTTAAAAAACAGAACCGAAAACAAAGAAATATGAACAGTTCAGGGTCTGCTCTTGGGCTGAGTATCTGTTTACATGCGTGGCAGAAGAACCCATCATTGGTGAGGGTGGGGGGTGGCCACCCGCTCAGGCTTTCCCTCTAATGACCAGAATGGAGGTTGGCAAAGGGCGCCCTAATGACCAGATACAAACAAAAAAGAACAAAGCAAAACTGACTAAATATATTGTCCACCTTTGTCCCAAGGTTCCCGCTGTGTTTTTCCATGGTTTTTTTTGCTCCCCCTGTTTCTTCTTGCCATTTTTTCTCGCCCAGGATGTTGCCTCTGGGCCTCCAAGCCCAGCCTGCCAGATTCAAAAGTATGCAATTTTTTACTTCTGCTCCAAATTTCACTAACTATAAGCCTTCAAACTTTTAAAATATTCTTATCTCTGTGGTTCTGAGTTTTGGAGCTCTGCCCTGGATCTGTTCTGTCTGGTATTCTCTCTCATTCATTTTTGAAAAAAAAACATTGACCAATTGACTGGAAGAGATCTATTTTTGTGCCTATTCCAAAGAAGGGTGGTCCAAGATAATTCTGAATCTCTTTAACAGTATCATTAATATCACATGCAAATACAATTTTGCTTATAAGAATTTAAAAATGATTGTACCAGTACTTTGACAGGCAGCTGCCAGAATCAAAAGGGGACTTGGAATGAGGGATATATATGCTGACATCAGATGGATTTGACTGAGAACACTAGAAAAATGTTTACTTAAGTTTCATTGACTATTCAAAGACATTCAGTTGTGTTGATCACAGTAAATTGTGGATAAAATTTCAGAATGCAGGATTGTCCTCATATAAAACTTGACTAAGAGGTAGTCCTTTAAATAAAAAGAGATGGACTATGAGTGGTATAAATTCAGGAAAGGTGTGCCCTTTCACTTTACTTATTCAATATGTATGCTGAACAATAATGTGAGAACTGGACTGTATGAAGAAGAACATGACATTAGACTGCGATGACACAGACTTGCTTGCTGAAAGGAAATGAGATTTGAAGCACTTTCTGATGAAATCAAGTACTACAGCCTTCACCTCAACATAAAGAAAACAAAATGCCTCAATTAGATCAATGAGTAACATCAATATAAATGGAGAAAATATTGAAGTTTTCAAGGATTTTGTTTTACTTGGATCCGTAATCAACACTCATGCAAGCAGCAGTCAAAAAATCTGCTGCAAATGATCTCTCTAAAGTTTTAGAAAGCAAAGATTTCACTTGGAGAATTAATGTTTGCCTGACCCATGCCATGATCTTTTGGTCTTTTCAATCTCCTTATCTGCGAAGGCTTGAGAATGAATAAGGAAGACTGATGAAGAATTGATGCTTTTGAATTATGATATTGACTAAAAATATTAAATATGTTATGGATTTATTGAAGAATGAAAAAATCTGTTTTAGAAGATTTATAGCGAGAATGTTCTTGAGAAGTGAGAATGATGAGACTTTGTCTCACATAGTTTGGACATGTTATCAGGAGGGACTTATTCTTAGAAAAGGACCTCATGCTTGGCAAATTCAGTGACAAAGAGGAAGACCCTCAATGAGATGGATTGACACAGTGTCTGCAACAGTGAGCTCAAACACAGGAATGACTGTGAGGGTGGTGCAGGAGTAGATAGTGTTCGTTCTGTTCATTCTGTATTGGAACCAACTCAGAGGTACCTAACAACAAGGATAAAAATAATAGGTATTTTAACAGTGTACATAAGAATACATGCTCATATGAACATATAGGTATATATATTGATTTGAGATGTTTGGGATAGAGAAGTCCTTATTTGGAATGTTCACAAAATTTTTTTTTAATGACCTTAATTAATTTTTTTATTTTCCAAAATACTTGTTTATTATGCTTTGCTAATTAGGGGTCCTGGTGTGGCGCTGTATGATAAACACTAGACTACAAGGTCGGTTTGAACTGCAAGGTATATGGTTCAAACTCAGCAGCCCTTCCTTGGAAACCCAATACAGGGTTGCTACAAGTTGGAATTTGCATGATGGCACTTAATAACAATAAAAATTAGGGTTATTTTGTTAAGTGCCATCAAGTCGGTTCCAACTCGTAGCAAACCTGTACAGGGTTTCTAAGGAGTAACCGGTGGGTTAGACCACAGACCTTACAGTTAGCAGTTCAGTGCTTATCCTAAAACACTATACTGTTTGTACAATTTGAGATTGTCCTTTTTTCTTTACTTACTGCTGCATTATTAAGAATTCTCCACGTCATTGAATACTTGGAGAACGTTTTGAGTTTTTGCCTAATATTATCCTATATATGAAACATATAATTTATGTATAATTTTCCTGGTATTGGTAGATATATAGATTGTTTCCAGTTTTTCACTGTTATTTGCAGTGGTCTATTCAAATATTTGTCAACAAAAGTTTGTATACTTACATTGTATTTCTCATTTAAAACTTGAATATGATTTAATAGTAAAAATAGTGTTTAGTAGGGGTCAATTAATTGGGCTTTCCATTATTTTATTGTGACTACAAACCGTTTTTCTTTTTCCAGGGCATAAAACCAGCTAGTTTCAATAAAGTCACTGATCCTGAAGTCAAAGAAATTATTGAAGGATGTATTCGTCAAAACAAATCTGAAAGGTGAGTATAAATGTAGCAAAACAACATAATTGTGATGGATGCATTTTTGTCTTACCTTACAGTGTGTCGTTTCCTCATCTTTGAATCATGCTGTGTATGAATTTAGAGTGGGATCCAAATTATATTGTATAGAATTAAATGTATCAGTCAAAGTTATTTGACATTTTAAATTTTAAAATCACAGGCTAAATTTTTCTTGGACCAACATTTGGGTTATAATAGTATGTCTGTTGTAACAAAGTTTCATCACCTTCAAACATCAATTTAATGGTCAGTGGGTCATTACAGGTTAAATTGCTTCTAATTGTTGATAGTAAGAGTTACTACATGATATTTCACTTTCAGGTACATTCTTTAATGTGCTTTTATGGTAGTTTTCTCTTTTTAATTTTAACCCTTGAGCCACCAGATATTTTTATTTAATCATATGTCCTTGTGTCATGGTTAACAGTAAAGCTGATAAAATACTTTTGTTTTAAAAGGATAATTCTGTATTTATTTATATCATAATTTGTGTTTTCTTATAGTCAACTCCTTTTAGTCTGAATAATTAGTTTTGAATAATTGTGGACAGAAATTGGTAGGCTAGTATTTTGATTTACAAATGTCCTTTATAAAAATCATTTCCACCAACATTTCACTGATTGTCCCTCATTCTTATTAGTTTTCTGTCTAGGTTTAGTGTTGCATATCTGAGACTATATAGAGCCACTAAGGTAAGGTTTATTTAATTATAGCTTTATTATGGAACATTCTTAGTGTTTGTACTGACAGGCTGTATCTAGGTATGTTTTTTAAATGAAGCTAAAAATATTTTGGTAAAGTATTTATTGAGATTCAGAGAGCTTAATTTATTTGTGACTTCTTAAACACATCTCAACTTAGTTTAAGTTGAATTAGTTTGAGCAACTTTATTCTTCTTCTAACATTACCTTAGTTGTTTCTTGATCGTTAAAAATGTAAGGAGTTGAAAATTCTAAACTTAGAGGATACCATACTGTCAAAATACTTTAATATTTAAGTAGCACTTAAGGGACATGTCTCCAGACATTATGGAATACATCAACTTCAGATTTCCTTGGCCTGCACTACTGAGAGTTGTAGTTAAGTGCCATCATCAATTCCAACTCATAGCTACCTGATACAGGGTTCCTGAGGCTGTAAATCTTTGCGGGAGCAGAAAGTCTCATCTTTGTCCTGTGGAGCAGCTGTTGGATTCCAACTGGCTACCTTGTGTCTTGTAGTCCAGTGCTTACCCTGCAGAACTACTGTGTTCCCACTACTGATAGATTAGATATTATATATCTGTTTTAAAAGTTGGTCAAAGAGAAGGAAATGAACTACTCTATTTTGCAATAGAATTGCTTGAACTCAAGTTCTTTGTTTCTATTTGTAGATGTTTAACTTTAATATGAGATTAGGGTTGTGTGCACTTTGACCTAAAACAGATTTAAATGCTTTAAGAAACCCACTGGACTCTGCTGAAACCACATTAGCTTCTCCAGTGGCGTTTTCTAAAGAAAGAGGACACTTACTAGAGTATTAGTAATGAAGTCAATGACTTCTATTTGTAACATTCATTGAAGAGTTAGATTTTTTAAATTTGATTTTAAAGTTTATAAATCTGGGATTGTTTTGCTTTCCTTTGCTGAGTAATTTAAGGTGGTGAATTAAGGAAGTATAGAGAAGACAAGATAACTTGAGGAGGTAACATGGTATAACATTCTCAGCTCTACAGCTTGCTTTTCAAAGCGTGGGTTGGGTGTCTACTGACACTGGGAAGTTTTATGGTACTTGTTAGATGATTAAAATGTTAGATGGATTACATATATCTAATTTCTACAAGGACAAAGAGAATAGGAGAACGACAGTAGTAATCCATCTAGCATGTACTGTAGTACTTCTCTAATTCTCTCTAGACATACTTTTATGTACTAGGACAAGTCTAAATGTATTGCTACAAAATTATAGGACACAAATATCAAAATGGTTTTTTTTCTTGACATAGCCTCCATCTTGGCATATACACTTCTGAAAGCAGTGTTTCCATCTCTCTTTTCCCTGAAGAAATCTGTACTTTTCGATTTACGTTTCTTAAAAACGACAGTTTTGGCATCCTTGAAGGACTCAGATTGTTTGTTTTTAATGCTCTTTGAGTTTTGGGAACAAAAAGAAGTCTGAAAGAGCAAGATCAGGACTGTAGGATGGATGGGGCAACGTTTCACAGTAAAATTCTTATGGGACAACCCTTGTTATCACTGAAAAATGAGCAGGTGCATTGTTGTGATAGAAAGAAGATTTCTTGGTGTCACTTTGGTAGCCTTTTACTCACCAGCGTAGGTTTTAGTTTTCTTAAAAGTTTCTTAAAAGTAAGATCCTGTGATCATCCTAGGTCTTTTGAGAAAATTTATCAAGATTACACCTTTGGGATCCCATAAACAGCAGTTGTCATAACCTTCTCAGCTTACCTCTCTTCCTTGAATTTATCCGGCCCAGCAAATCCCCTCGGAAGCCACTGTTCGAATCTTTTGTTTGAAGACACCCTGATCAGACTAAGACAAGTACATTACTGAGAGAACATGTTTGCAGCCATCCACTGATTGCAGAGACATGTTTAAACGTATTGTGTTTGGATCAAACTCATGCATGTGTGAACTGGAGTCCTAATAGCAATAGTTTTTGACTAATCCTTATATTCAATTTTGGAATGTTATTGGTAGTAATTCATCTTTAATTAAGATCGCTATGGATATATGCTGGTGTCCTGATATGGCACTGTAGAATAAACACTGAACTGCTAATCACCAGGTTGGTGGTTCAAACCTACCAACTGCTCCTAGGAAACTCTATACAGAATCAGAACCAACTCTGCTGCACTTAACAACAACAACAATAATGTATGCATGCTAATTGAGGTTTCTTTGCATCCTTGTGGTGTGCTGTCCCAGTTCCAGTTCATACTGACCCTTTATAGAGTTTCCCAGGTTGTAAATCTTTATGGGAGCAAGAAGCCTCATCTTTCTCCTGTGGAACTGCCGGTGGATTCAAACTGTTGACCTTGCGGTTACCAGCCAAACGTGTAACCCACTATGGTACCAGGACTCCTTGCATCCCTGATAAAAAGTTGAATATAGGATTTTGTGTTTATCACAAGACAGATGAATAATTTAATTCATAAAATTTTTATAATAACATTGTTACCTTGATACAATAAATTTTTACTTATTAAATAGAGATAATGTTATATCTTGTTTATGACTTGTAAAATTGGTCACAAGATATTTATTTTATTTACTAGGTTGTCTATCAGGGACCTACTAAACCACACATTTTTTGCTGAGGATACAGGACTGAGAGTGGAGTTAGCAGAGGAAGATGATCGTTTAAATTCATCCTTGGCTTTAAGACTATGGGTTGAAGACCCTAAAAAATTGAAAGGCAAGCACAAAGACAATGAAGCTATTGAATTCAGTTTCAATTTAGAAACAGATACACCTGAGGAAGTAGCATATGAAATGGTAAGTGAATCCTACTACTATCCTGTTTTCATTCCTGCCCTTTCTAGTATCAGGGTTGATTCTTTTTTGCTTCTCATTGCTTTTTTCTTCCCTCTTATATTCTCTATTTGTTTATTTAAATTATGATTTTATTTTGAGATGTATCTCTACAGAAGAGTATATTAAATTTGTATGTACTGTATAAAGAATAATAAAACACTACCTTTGCTAAGAAATATAGAAAATTATTGATAGTTCACAGAGAAAATTGTCTATATTCTACTTTCATGAATAGTGACTGGGATCTTAAAAGCTTGTGAGTGACCGTCTAAGGTGCAACTATTGGTCTCTCCCCATTTGGAGCAAAGAAGAGTGAAGAAAATCAACAATGAATGGAAACAATCCCGAGGACAAATGGACCACGTGAACCTCAGTCTTCATGAATCTGAGACCAGAACTGAATGGTGCCCAGCTACCCATACCAACTGCTCTGGAAAGGATCACAATGGAAGATGCTGAATAGATTATGAGAAAAATTCTGAAGAAAATTCAGAATCATAAAGAAGATCAGGTTGGATAGGAGACTGGTGGAACCCCTGAGACTATGGCCCTTAATCACCCTTCAAGCCTGTGAAACTGAACTTACCCCATTGGCTCAACTTTCAGCCAGACAATAGGCCAAAGCAATAACACTAGGAAGGAACACACTCCTTACAACAATCAATTCAAGAACAAACAATTCAAGAATAAAAGGGCAACATTTGCCAAGGACAAAGTTTAGAAGGCAGAGATAGGAAAGAAGTACCAGTGGAAAGTTAAAAGCACAGGGAGGAAGTGATGTTACATTGTGGGTATTGCAATCAATATCACAAAATGAAATGTATATAAATTGTTTAGAAAGACCAAAGTCAAGGTACCAGTTGGCTTGGACTTTTATCTGGAGATTCTAGAGGAGAATTTTCTTTCAGGCTCATTCATGCAGTTGACAGAATTTAATCCTATATGGTTGTAAAACTGTGGTCTGTGTTTCCTTGTTGGCTGACAAATTACTCTACTATGGACTGCTTTTAAGTCTTTACACATGCCTCCACCCTATCTTAAAAGACAGCAATAGCATTTTGAATCTTTCTAGTGGTATGAATCACTGACTTCCTTTTTTTGTCACTAGCTGATAAAAGTTCTGTGGTTTTAAAGACGCTTGTGATTAGATCAGACTCACCTGACTAATCATTCTATCTTAAGGTTAGTTGTGCCATGTATAATTCATAGCAGTGATATCTCACCATATTCAGAAGTCCGGGATGGGACATATTTGGGGGGGCCATAATTCTGCTTATCAAAAGAACTAACTAACAAACTGATGAAATGTTATGATTGCTTCATAGGATTTGTGAACTTAGACCTGTACTTTAGAGTATCTTAGTGGACTCCTGGTGTGGTGCTATAGGATTAACACTGGACTACGAACCATAAGGTTGGCAGTTCAAACCCACCAGCTGCTTCTTGGAAACCCTATAGAGGGAAGCTATGAGAACTAACTCAGTGGCACTTAACAACTACAATGGACCATTAACTGGTGAATCTCTGATATCAGTATTTTTAGGTCTGTCTTCTTGAGTTGTCCAAATTCCCCAGGGAAGTATCTTCAATCTCCTCTCTGGAGGGTAAGGTCTGGTTACCAGTATTCACATCTCTAAACAATAGATCTGGGGATTTCTGCATTTGATGTTCAGCATGCATATGGTCACTTAATCTTCTTGTTTTTGACATGACAGCCATATCTTCAACTGTGCTTGGTGTTCTGTAGTCCAGAGATCCTCCCTTTTGTCCTCACTAGAGAACAAAACTCCAGACTTTTGGGATAAGATCCATTAGAATGGAAAGTAGGAGATAAGGTCCTAAATATATAACTGCTTCTCAAAACCTTTTTTCTTGGTCTTCCTTATTTTAGCCATTTTTATTTTCCTTATCAATTCCTATGCCTTGTGAGTATTATTCTGTATAAATATACATGAGTCTCAGATTTCCCTACTACCAGTTTAGGATTCAGTGTTTTTAGATCTTCTTAATTTTTGTGTACCTATTTTCCATTTTCCAAAATGTTAATATTGTCTTTCTTCTATTCTCCCTGTCCTTCTGGTTTTATAACTTTTAAATGTATACTTACTATGGGTTTCATTTCAGAATATGGGATTGGGGTAAAATTAGATAAATATATTTCATCTAACATTTTAATCATTTTTGAAGTACCATGAAATTTTCCAACCTCAGTAGACTTCCAAGACATGCTTTAAAAAGCAGGTTGTGGGGTCTTGCCCAGGATGGCGGCTCCTGGAGCAGCCCAGTGTCCCGGACTAAAAAGTGATAGATTTCTTGCTTCTGCCACAAATTCCCCCAGCTGTGAGCCTTCCAACCTTCGAATCTTTTGAGCAATAGCGTTGTTCCAGTACCAGCCACTGCAGAAGCTGTGAAACAGAGGATTGAGGAAATTGGTGCAAACGAACTATCTTGGAAGTTTAGAACTGAAGGCCTTCAGCAGGAAATTCAAATGCTCAATAAACAACTGGAATGGCTGCATCATCTTTATGAGGAAGCTATTCGAGAAGCACCCCAAGCTGAAGAAAAGTATAGGGAAGAAAAAGAAGCCTTAAAACGTATGGAAGGAAAAATTGCTATCAATGACTTTTTTCAAGGAAAAGTATACTTGGACAGGAAGAAGCTTGCAGACTTTCGAGAAACCATTATGAAGATGTTGGGATTTAACATGAAAACAGCAGACAAGGAAGTTTTCAATCAGCTAAGGTTTATTATACAAGCTTATGAGACATCTAACAAAAAATCAAAGGTTAATTCTGAGGCTGAACAGGAGAATGCATAAAGAAGTTCTGCTTTTTCATTGCTGCCAACAAGAGCTCAACAGATGTGGATATTTCTGCCAGCATCTTCATTCTATATGGCTACATTATGAATAAAATGCATTGGAAAATTTTTTTAAAAAAAGCAGGTTGTGGGACTGAGATATGATATGCCATGATAACTCCTTGTCGTGGATTGAATTGTGTCCTCCCAAAATATGTGTCAGTTTGACTGGGTCATGATTCTCAGTGGTCTGACAGTTATGTGATGATCCCCATGATATTAGCTGATGTGATCAATTAAGGGTAGATCCATTACAACCCTGATCCATGTAAGGTTGCTTACCAAGAGTATGGAATGCAACATCTTTTTATCTTACAAGAGATAAAAGGAGAGAGCAGCTAGCAGAGAAGTGGGATCTACTATCACCAAGAAATAAGAGCCAGGATTGAAGTGTGTCCTTTGGACTTGCGTCTCTGTACTGTGAAGCTCCTAGATACAAGGAAAAATAAATCCTAAGACACATGGAGATCTCCAAGGAATGCTGGTCCTAATGGTGCTAAAAAGAGACAAAATCCTTTATCCATAGTTGGCACTCCGAATTAAGAGTGAATTCTCTCCTAAACTGAGAGAGAATACATTTTCATGTGTTAAAGCTATCTACTTTTGGTATTATTGTTATTGCAGCACTAGATAACTAATACACTCCTCAAGTTGTCTTTGTTGTTTAGTCCTGTTTCTCTGAAACAAGGCAGACCCCCTCTACTCTGTAATACCTTGATACTTTGCTCTGAACATATTTCCCTCTACCTAGAATCTTGGTCTCCATTCCAAACTTAGTCTACACCTCCCTCAAAAGCCTGGAAATTTCCTTTCATGCTTAAAGCTCCACATCAAAATTTACCTTCCTCTGTGACTTCTTCACTACCTCTAGAGAAGCATGTGTTTTTTTCTTTATAGCTTTTGCTTTAAAGTTCTACCTCTTATTTGATTGTAAGTTAATTTTATATCTGTTTCAAACCACCAGATTGTGAGTTTATCTGAGATAATGAACCATCATATTCACCTATGGTGTCCATTACTGGGAACACTGTATACATTTAATGTTGATGAATGAGCAAACTTTTTAAATCTTTTACAAAACCTAATGACACAAATTAACTGTAACAAATAGGCTGAATATACTGAAATATAAAGGGTTTTGCTTACATCAAAGTTAGCAATTCTTAGTATTGTTTTTCTTAGGCTTATTGAAAACTCTGGCATTTATTTATGTTTTTGATTAAGAAAGAATATGGAAATAAAATAATTTATATGATAGCACTATAATTTGAGAGCATAAAATAACTACTTATAAAAAAATTTTGAATCTTAAATAGTTCACTTATTACATTCTGTTTGTAGGTCAAATCTGGTTTCTTCCATGAAAGCGATTCCAAAGCTGTTGCCAAGTCCATTAGAGACCGTATGATCTTGATAAAGAAGACAAGGGAAAAGAAGCCAGCTGACTGTTTAGAAGAACGCAGAGATTCTCATTGTAAGTCTGTGGGGAATGTGCTCCCTCAGCACCAGAATACAACTTTATCCCCTGCTCAGCCAACTGTGTCTGAATGTGAAGAAACTGAAGTTGATCAGCATGTTCGAAAACAGCTTCTACAAAGAAAGTCACATCAGCACTGTTCCTCTGTTGCAGGTAACATAGTTATAATCTATAAAAACAAACACATGTGTAATTGTATTTCTTGTCTTTAAGTAGTGCACTATACTTTGAAAGTGTTCTGTTATCTATCATGTTATCAATCCTTTAACAAAATTCTTAATAGGATAGCTAGTTTTCTAAGTGACTTTTCCAAGGTGCTGGTATTATGTCCTGTTGTGGTGCTGTGGGTTAATGCGCTGGACTGCAAGGTTGGCAGTTCACGTTCACCATATGCTCCTATACATGGTTGCTATGATTCGGAACTGACTTGACAGCAATTAACAACAGTGACAGTATGGCACTGTAGGATAAGCACTGGGCTGCTAATCGCAAGGTCCACAGTTCAAACCCACCAGCCACTCCTTGAAAACTCTATGAGTTGTTGTTAGCACTTAACAACAACAGTATATCTGTTAGTTTGGCATGGTGGCTTGTGCGTTGCTATGATTCTGGAAACTGTGCCACTGGTATTTTAAATACCAAAAAATACCAATTGGGTCACTCAAGGTTGACAGATTTCAGCAGAGTTTTCAGATTATAACAGATAAGGAAGGAAATACAGGCCACTTCTGAAAATTGAAAGTTGTCAAAAATGAAGTAGATCACAGAAAGATCAATATCCTAGTCATTCGTGAGCTGAAATGGATTGGTATTAGCTTTTTTGAATATGCCAAGAATGACAAATTAAAGAGGAATGGCATCTCATTCAGTTTTTTCACAATGGTAATATTTCGTTGTTGATGGTGTTTGACTAAGTTCATACTTTTTCCCTTTAAGGATGTCTCAGGTTGTCTGAATAAAGAATCAAAATTTTAATACCTGTTGCCTCTCCCGCTCCCATAGGTGATAATTTGTCTGAGCAAGGAGCTGGATCAGTTATGCATTCAGATACTTCAAGTCAACCCAGTATAGCCTATTCCTCCGACCAGACAATGAGCTCTCAAATGGTTTCCAAGACCCTTCAGACTGAAATAAACGTTCCAGTAAAGATTTACCCATCTCCGCAGCTCGGAGGACATTACCAGCAAATTTCTGGGGTGGGTGTGCTAGACTATTATTTTTTAAACTATATAATCAATGTATATGTTGCGAATGGGAAATATTACCTGTAATCGTTTTATGTCTTGTTTAACAGTTGCAGAAGCAGCCAAAGCTGACTCAGCCTCAAGTTTTGCCTTTGGCTCAAGGTCAGTCCATTGTTTTGCCTGTACATGTCCCTGGGCCTCCAGCTGTTTCACAACCCCAAGTTTCCCCAGTAACTGTCCAGAAGTTCTCACAGATTAAGGTAAGAAACATTGTAGAAGCTCTGAATTTATTAATACAAATTTAGCACTGTCTAGATTTTCTGACAAGCAAAGTCTTTCTTATATCATCATATTAAAGTAAAGGTCATTAAAAGCTAAAAGTTGTTTTTCTTCATCCAAAATATTATTCTTAAGGATGTACCTAGATACATTGCTTTACTATAATCTTGAGACACATCATGTATATTTGGAGAGGAACTGGAGAACTCAGTGTGGACAGAAAAGACTAATTGGAACTATTTTCTTTCTTGTGCTAGTGATGGGTCTTTGTTTTTGTTTTTTTGTATTGAACTTTTCCATCTTGCTTTAACCTGGAACATTGTCTTTGTAGCTAATTAAAAATGGTGTTTTATAGAATATCACAATTTTCAACAGTTTTGTATAACTTCTTGACCTTTATTTTGATTCATGTTTATTACTGTAGGAAGACAAGAAGAAACATTTTTATCTTTCAGACTCTTTAAGTCAGTATTATTCATTTCTCACAATGAATAATCTTTGTGTGAGTTCATATATCAAAACTCTATCCTGGATCCCTAGGTGATACAATCTGGACATATGGTTGATTTTCTGTACCATTACCCCATATATATATTTACCCTGCACCATTCCATATCTGTCTTTTCTTTCTGGAGATGGGATGGACTGAACTCTTAAGGCATTCTCTATATATGATTTAACTTTGTTGTTGTTAAGTGCCATCGAGTCAACTCTGACCTATAGCCACCCTGTGTAGATAGGGTTTCCAAGGAGCAGCTGGTGAGCTTGAATCCCTGACCTTGCAGTTCAAACAACTTTGCAGTCTGACACATTAGCCCACAGGGCCACACCAGGACCATACATGATTTAACTTTGTTGTTGTTGTTAAGTGCCATCGAGTCGATTCTGACCCATAGCGACCCTGTATAGGGTTTCCGAGGCTGTAAATCTTTACGGGAGCAGAAAGCCTCATCTTTCTCCCGCAGAACAGTTGGTAGTTTCGAACTACGGACCTTGCAGTTTGCAGCCCGATTCGTAACCACTATGCTACCAGAGCTCCTTTTACTAGCAACTGGTATATCAGTATGTAAATAGTCAGTCATAGTTCATCAATAAACTTGTAATAAGAATATCTGGAAATACAATATGGTTCTTGCCTTCAGAGAGCTTGCAGTCTGTTAGGGGAATGTTTACATATACTTAATAAATGCCAGCTGCATTTTTAAAATCTGCTGCAGTAGAGTTAATCTGATGTGGTATATTTGTACTTGAACTCACATTTTCATTTGCCTGTAAGACTATAGTGCAAGTTATGTTAAATGAATGCTAAAATTTGACTTAGATTCAACCACATAAGCATACAAGTATGTGTGTTTCCAAAATTGTAAATGAGATTTAAACAAAAATTATTATTCAAGTGTTGTTTATGTTTTCAGATTCAATTTTGTTTGCATATACATTTATATATTTAAATAAGGAGCTCTGGTAGTGTAGTGGTTACAAATTGGGCTGCGAACCTTAAGGTCAGCAATTCGAAACTACGAGCTGTTCTGCGGGAGAAAAATGAGGCTTTCTGCTCCCGTAAAGATTTACAGCCTCGGAAACCCTGTACAGGGCCCCTATGGGTCGGAACCGACTTGATGGTACTTAACAACATACATTTGTATATCAAATACATGCCATTTTGTAGCCTGCCCTTTTCACTTATTATATAAAGCCACACAAATAAGCACTCTGACCATTTGTGACTTTTTTTGAGATGAGTGGCCTATGCTCTAGAAATTATTCCATACATCCTTTATTTCAGGACAAGTTCTTAAGGAAACTTCTGTGTTCATTATTAATATAATATTGATATCCTCCTGAGCTCTCTTGGGATTTCCAAGAGAAGGTATGAGATTCAGTTTCTCTGAATCTCTGCCAGTTTTTGAATGAATTATATGCTAAGTGAAAAACATGAGAAGTCACAAGCAGTATATTGCTGGAGCTGATCTCAATCCACTAATATATTCAATTAGCATGTACTGATGGTATTAGAATTTTTGTAGACTAACTCTACACTTAGCACCTTTTTGATAACTTGCTGTATAAATTTTAGAATATAGTTATAGGTATTATTTTGCCTTTCAGTCTGTCTGGGAGCATCTATTAAAATGGATGCAGTATATACATTTATAGGAGTCCTGTTGTGGCGCTGTGGGCTAATGTGTCAGACTACAAAGTTGTTTGAAGTACAAGGTCAGTGGTTCAAGCTCACCAGCTGCTCCTTGGGAACCTTATATAGCGTTGATGTGGATCAGGATCTACTTGCCAGCACTTAGCAACAACAACAACATATGCATTTATAGTTTGGATTTTCCTTGTACCAGCACCAGGAACTGCACCTGAGTAGATGGGCAAACTTCAGCCCATCTAATTACTTTAAACATTTCAGTTACTGAAGTTCCACAACTAATTCTTTCACCTCAGACATCTGCTTCACAGATGACTTCTCAGAAACTACCAGTTGGTCTTCAGTTTGAGCCTGCCTCTGAAAATGGAAGTCAGGCCAAAGCACCAAATGCTGATCAGACTTCTAATTTCTTGCTACTTAATTTCCCTCAAGCTTTGTTGCATCATTCTTCTGCCCAGTGTGTGAGCAGTGCGCAGAGTACTTCTGATACAGTTATGCTGCCTTCTAATTCTATTAGGGGTTAAGGAACCTTGCTCCTTCACAAAAGATACGTCAATATCACAACTATATGCAGTGGTACATCAGGTACCATGAATTTGAAGGAGCCTTGTTTCCAAGATGCTATTCAGCAGCACTCACTAGTTTTACAATTTAAGATTAGAGCAGTACAATTAAGAGCATATATATAAAACCAACAGCCTACATTACTCTCAATGGAGAGAAATTGAAAGCCTTCCCTCTAAAAAATAAATAGATTATAGATAGTATCATCACAGAAATAAGTTCATCAGGATTGTATTCTGCAAGATTCTAAGACAAGTGTAATTGAGAAACAGCCAAAGGAGGCTTTAAAAGTGAGATTCAGTCCCCAGAACGACCGTCACGCTTACCCAGGATCATCTACAGATCTATCGCCCTTCCCATAAAGCCTCCCTAGCAAGCTGCTCTTTGTGATTCATTCTCAGCAACAAGCTTCTACCCATCACAGCCAACTTACACAGTCCAGCCTCCAGTACAAACTGTTTATTCAATTCCAGCTCCAGTGTATCCTCTTTGCACTGTACAACAAACAGGATCACAGCTAGCCTATTCTATACAAACGTCTTATATAGTCTCACCTGTGGTACAATCTTCATATTCAGCACCATCTCAAGGGCAGCCAGCTTGTCTAGTGCATACTCTCGTTCAGTCACCTTTTCCAGACCAGACAACCTATGCAATCCAAATACTTAACCCTTCGCAACTTGGAACAGCCTGCCTCCCAGGCACTTTGTCTTGAGCATGACAATTATTCAGGTCACAATACTTAGTACATCAAGAAAACTGAGTGGACAACTTTCATAATCCAGAGCAAGTAAACAAATTAAACTCACCTGAGAACATTAAAAACTTTGCAGATCGAATGTTGTTTTCAGTACCACATTATATAGCACAGATTTCTGGGCAACAAGCCTATTTAACACAATCCCAAAATTATAACTTTTAAACACTGGAACAGAAGATATGTTTAATATCAACTATGCCTTTATTTAATGTCCAGCATGCAACAGCTTCATCCCGAGCAGATGTTAATTTTGGAAAGCAGCAGCTAAAAGCTCAGATCTAGTCAATTAGTACATCTCAGATAACAGTAGGCCAACTTAAAAACCCCAGAAAGGTGTTCTTCATTCAGCAGTTGTCTTCACAACCCCATATCCAGCCCCCAAACTTCTTAACACAGTTTTCCCAGTTACATCTAACACCAAGTCAGGTTTCTCAGTCATCTTTCATTCAGCATCAGCAGATGACTCACTCATCCGACACACAAGTACAGCAAACTCAACAGTTCTCTATTCAAGAAGATCCCATAAATCATCAACAGTCTTTATATGGTCAACATGCAGAAGGTACCTCTTTCACAGGTACCTAACCAAGTTCAGTCATTACCAGGTGTTCCAAAGACCATTAAAAGCATGGTCCAGAATAGGAGCGGAGACCTCTGGGACCATCAATGGAGAAGAGCCGAGAGCGGGACCCTACCCAGAGAAACAGAGATGCCTGAGATGGAGGCAGAGATGATGATGCAGAGTGATGAAGCGACTGGGGACTTTGGACCCAGAGAGGGAAAGGGACTGTGGGCCGAAAACTCGGGGGAGGAGGGAGAAGTGTAGGGAGCTGGTTTCTGGGATATACCCTTTGGGTGGTTGATGATGCATGGAGGGGATTGGAACCATGGCAATGAGATGACATACGATGGAATGAATGTAAAACTAAAGTTCCCCCATGTAAACTATCATATAATTCACAATAAAACATTAAAAAAAAAATAAAAGCATGGTCCAGAATACTACTTTTGCAAGAATAGTTGCAACCAACTGCAATGGAACAGCCTTATATATTACATGCTTTAGAACAGATTCATTGTTTCAGGTATTAGATAACAGTCAAACTTCTAGCTCGGGTGATGGGGAGGGTAATATACAAGAAGAGAGTGGCTGGCTGAAGAATGATGAAGGTAGGTATGCATGGGCTAAAGGGGATAGATGTAAATAGTGATATAACACAACCTTGGAACAAGTGTTCTGTGCATAGTTACATGAATTGAGGCAGGGTGAATAGGTAGAGGAGGAAGAATAGGATACACACACACACACATATATATGTATATAGATCCTTGAAGGAGGATATTTGTGCATGAATATTTAACTTTCCTGCAACCACAACTATGACTGTTGTGGAACATGTTGTTGTTGTTGTTAAGTCAGTTCTGTTGAGTCAGTTCCGACCCATAGCTATCCTGTACAGGGTTTACGAGGCTCTAAATCTTTACGGGAGCAGAAAGCCTCATCT